GAATGAGTTAGTATAAATAAATTATAGGATAATTTTAATATTAAATTTTGTATTTTGAAATAAAATGATTTAAGAAAAATTAACATTGGTTTGAATATTTTAGTTTTAAATAAATTATGTTAAAATAATTTAATTTAGAACTGTTAATTTAATTTAATTTATGTATGTTAATTAATTTAATTTAAGATTTTAATTTAATTTATGTCGTTAATTAATTTTATTTAATCTAGAGTGTTAATTAATTTAATTTATTTTATTTTATGTTAAGTTAAATTATTTTTGAACTTTTAAGTAATTTAACTTAATTTAAGAGTATTAATGAATTAAATTTAATTTATGTCTGTTAATTAATTTAATTTGTACTAATTTTAATTATTTTAGAACTATTAATTAATTATTTTTAGGATTGTTATTTAATTTCATGTAATTTATGTCTGTTAATTAATTTAATTTAATTTAGTTTATGTCATTTAAATTATTTTAGAACTGTTAATTAATTATTTGTATAATGTTTTGAAATAGATTCATGGATTCCTTGCACGATTCCCTACTTGATTCATCGATTGGTTCATCGCCCCATGCGACGCATGAGCACGCCCCTCCTGGTTCCCAAGGATCTCCTCATAGCGTCATTACATCGGGCCCATTGGTACCTTTCTCCTGACATTACAAGAGAAATACATTTTCACATATGTGTGGAATGGCCAGGGCAATCGGCGACTCAATACCAGACACACTGCCACACATGACTCGTTGAACATACCTGAGGACATCAAGCCATACTTGAGGCAGGCTAGATTCTTTCATATTGCGCAGCTGTGCAACCACGATGTAAGTATTCATTTATTGCTTTTTTTTATTCAAATGGATTAATTGTATTGATTTGAAAACATCACTCATTTTTATTGTTTCAGATTGACCATGCTCTTATTTTCGTGCTTGTCGATCATTGGCAGCCTGAGACGTAGACATTTCATTTGGCGCATGGTGAGATGACGATCACCATAGAGTATGTACACCATCTGTTAGGTTTGTCCACGGATGGTGATGTTATCTTCGGTCGTGCTGGACAGTATGATTGAAGGCAGTTAATAGCCGAAAACCTCAAAATTCAGCCAAAAACAGATCATGACATGACGAGTGGTCAGGTGAACCTTCGATGGTTGCGCTAGCGCTTTGGTCATTATGGTTTGCATGCTGGTGTAGAGGCACAACGCATTAGGTACACGCGCACGTTGATCATACGCATCTTAGGAGGGATGCTCTTTGTGGAGACTGTCTCCAGTTTTGTGCCCGCTCGATTTTTACTATTCCTGGATTATTTTCCACGGGCGAGCACTTGTAGTTGGGGTTCAGTTGTACTTTCCCACCTGTACCGCGAGTTATCATCCATGACAGACATAGCACGCTTAGAGATGGGTAGCTGTGTATTGCTTCTTTAGCTGTGGGCGTGGATCTGATTGCAAAGGATCTCTCTCGGGGTCCCGATCATGGTAGACCCAGAAGCCATATATGGTCACAGGTATGTTATACTAATTACATATGTAAATTTTGTTCGGTATTATTGTTGCTAATTGTCAACTTTTGTATTTAGCAGATTTAATGCGTACGATCGGCGACAGTGCCCAGGATTCAACATCGCCTGGATGTTATACATAGGCACAAGATTGATTGGATGTCGTTCGTGGGTTACCATGGACATCAGCTGACATGTGAGCAGAGGCGCAGTTGGTTGGCAGTGTGTCCACTTATATACTATCACATTGTCGTCTACCAGCATCTCAATAGGGTCCTCACATTGTTGGCTATATGTGGACTTGCTTCGTTTAATTTCTCTAACCCAGCATCAAAATCCAACCGCAAATTTGTATAACCTGAATACAATAACAAAGACCGAAGCTTTAAGAAATATTCCACATAAGATGTGAAAAACTACATGAATAAGTCGAAAACTATACCTAACTTCTTCAATTGCTGCTTCAACATTACAATCTTGAACTTGTGGTTGAAGTTACTCGCAAGATGTCAAATACAGTAGACGGGGTATGATTTGGGTGGTTGCCAGCCTAGTGTCGTATTGTTGATTGCGAACAGTATGGCTGTATGCCGATCAGATATAAGATAGATGCCTTCTTTTTGTGTCACGTGCATCCGTATCAATGCTAAAAATCACAACCAGTTATTAAGATTCTTCCCCTTTACAACCGTGAAAGCGATAGAAAAGACGTAATTGTTTCCATCTATAGTTGTTGCAATTAATAGGGTCCCTCGATATTTCCCATACAAGTGGGTACCATCTATCTGGATAACGGGCTTACAATAATAGAAGGCATCAACACATTGTTTGAAAGTCCAAAAAACCCTATCGAACACCTTCTGAGATTGATCCAACCGGTTGTCAACAAAATGATCGTTTAAATCCAACTTATAGACAGCCCCGGGCAAAAATCGCAACATATAATCAAAACATCTTGGTAGAAAGGCGTATGATTCAACCTAATCCCCATAAATTTTGACAATTGTCTTTTGTTTTGCCTTTCACGTCTTCCTATATGATACATGAAACCTATGATTTGTTGCTATCCGTTCTTGTATTAGTGATATTTTAACATTGGGCTCATTCCTTGTCATCTCTGCATATCATAAAATAATTCTTTATTATTAACTTCGTTCAAAAATATTAAAAGAAAATGCGGACATGTGACATACCTAGGATCATTGAACAAATGAAGTTAGAGTCCAGCTGCTTGTGATCTTGAGAAAGAGTATGGTTTACACAGTTATATTGGTTAACCCATATGCCGATAATCCACTCGGTGCCACCCTTTTTTACGTGTGCGCGAACCCTCAATAGACAACAGTCGTTGTGATTTTCACACACCATGATCAATCCTTTTGTATCACTTTTAGCTACAACGGCTGTGTGATACTCTGCCATACAAAATTATTTTATAGCCATCTGAAGATCATGCTTGTTATCAAATACCTGGTCTTTATACAGCTCTTAACCCATTTGCCAGTTAGGTCCTTGCGCTCCATTCATTGCCTGCAACACCTAATCTAGGTGTGACCAATTGATAGTCGTATACTGACTTATTTGAGACCAAAATGAAACACTCTTGTCTCCTATATCAGCACATATCCGCCACAATTGTTCAACATTGCTAGTCAAATATAATATTCAATTAATTTTCATGAATTTCGGTTACTAACTTGCCACTAACGGGTCGTGCCCTCTAACAATACCTAGTGAAAGAATCAAATGACACATGGTGGTGGATGGACAAGAATCGAAATCGGCCTCTACATCCGTGTCCGATGAGTCACTTTTGGGAATAACCCATTCATCCAGTCGTTTAAGCTGTCTGTACAGCACATCAGGGCATACTCATCTTGGGTAGGATGCAATTCAAGTGACATTGGTACCGGTGGTGGGGGTGGCATATATCTATCTTCAGGATTCACCAACAGCTCTTTATTCATGTCGATCGACTGAATGGAAGGGTCAGAACGTTGACTGCTGGACTGTCCACCGGAGTCTACTTTTGCATACAACTCAGTAAATATGGAGTCTAGATCCAGTCGAAATGCATCTACTACTAAGGCGATATCTTCATCCTCAACAATCTACAACTGGAACCCAACTTTCTTTACCCGAGGCGCATCAAGCAGTCAAGCGAGACAGAGATTGACCACGTTGCAATCTCAATTTCTTGTATATTGTCTTCTTGAATTCATTAAAGCTACATCGCGGGCTCATGCGAAATACTTTTGTATCTCCTTCAAAATCTTGCCCATTAGGACCAAAATAATTCCTCCCATTGTAATAGACTGAGACAATTAATGAATTATTGTCATCACTCATTTTGAAAAATTTTGAGTGGAAAAAAGAAGAAGTGCTACTTCGGATGACTATTTATTAAACAATGTGAGAAATGAGATATAAAAAAGAAAAAAAAGACAACAGAAATTAACTAAACATAAATGAAATGTAACCACACTAATGCATGAAATGTGAAGGGAAGTGGTGAATTTATTAAACCAAAAACACTGGACTGCTGTGCTACTTACACATAATATGCTATGCAGCACTGCGAGTATGACCATGTGTCAAAAAAATTGACACGTAATATGCTATACAGCACAACGAGTCACGTAATATGCTATACAACATAGCGAGTTTGACATGTGTCAGAAAAGCTAACAGGTAACACGCTAAGCTACCTAGCATTTTAGGCCGCGTAGCAGGCTGGGGCAGAAGTTGTCCGCCACGTAATCTCGCTGCACTGTGTAGCGGTTACGTGGCCATAAACCTGCTGTCACGTGTTCACACCTAACTCGCTAGGTGTTGTAGCAAGTTAAGTGACATGACATTTTGGGAAAAAAAAAGTTTCTGGTCAATGATATTCAGGTAATTTTTTGTGAATAATGTGACATTTTAGTCGTTGTCCCGATTAATCCTATGCTATTAAATATAAAACATTTGACAGATGAGTGCAGAAGAAGCAAGAAAGTCGTATGAAAAGAAAGATCACAATAACAGAAAATAAAATTTAACTCATGCGGAAAAAGGAGAATTGATTAATACTTGACAAATTCAAAAGCTGCATGTGAAAAACCAGCCACTATTGTTGACTTCAAACCAAACAAAATCTAGCCATCTACACCTCAACCTAGAGTGATTTACTTCTCCCATGTAAATCAAAAAGTGTAGTATAAACGCTTTTTATCATTACCTAGTTAAATATGATTGTTGCCTTTTGAATTTTCCTACCAAAACATTGCCAAGCTTCTGTTATCATATAACTTGCATTTAGTTTACTTTCCAAAATTGTTCATTTTACTCTGTAGCTCACTTTATCTCTTTGGCAGGGGGAAGGAGGAGAAATATTTCAGTAAACAAAATTTGAAAGCAAGAGGTACAAAAATAAAGGGAACAACAATGATGACCAGGCATTGCAAGGATAGAGAAGAGGAAAAAAGAATTTTACTGCACATTTCCAATGTCTGATAATAGTACATAATGAATAACAATATATATCCTACAAACAGTTCCCCAATTCAATGGACCCGTAACAAAGCAATCTCGTGAACTACTCCTAGAATTCACCATGATGATATCAAATCAAAGTGGGTGAAGGTAAAAATTGGTACTAACAAAAATTAAGAAACTAAAAAAAAAATGATGGGTAAAACGCTGCTCTAGAGGGGGGAACCTCACAAAATAACTTTCCTAGCACTTGTGTTCTTAACACCAACTAGATTGATGAAACAGGCCTGACCTTTTTATCTCCAGCATTCAGTTTATTCTTCAGTATTCAACTATGGAATCTTTGCTATATTTTGTCCCATAGAAGACCAATAATAGTATCCTTTCACCGACCAAAAATAGAGGACGTGTTTCTATGTCACAACTCAAGGACTCATGATACTCAAGGCCATGCAGGGATGGTAACTGTGTCTGCAAAAATGTAGCAAATCCAGCCACAATATTTTTGATAGCTTTTCCCTCTCAACCAATTTTCTATTTGCCTTCTCAAATTCATCTTGAAGAAAATCTCAAGCCCACAAAAATTAAGATGAAACCTGTATTACTCGTCCCTTTCTTATTCACTGTTGTACAAACCATAGTGCTCATTCCAGGATATGACAGTTCCTCACAAAATCATTTGAATAATTGACATATTTGGTCCAAAATGGCCGAAGATGTTCAAAGCCAATTTGCAACCACGGTTTTGACTGGCCATTATAGTGAATAACAGCAGCCTTTTTCACACTCTCAATATTGGTGTTGCTCTGATAACCCAAGCCAAGCATGTGCCAAGAGGGATCAATTGGGTGAACATGACCTTTAAATGCAATCAAAGCAGGAGGTAGGGTTCCAAGCTTCCACATAGTCAGGTTTGACTTCAGATTCTGCCATAATGAAGCTGTCAATAAATATTCTTTGGTAAAAGAAAAATTGAACACAACCACCATCCTTCTTCTTTCAGAAGGGGGGAATGGAATTCCAGTAAAGACCAAAACATAAAAAAGGAAACTAGAGGTCACTGGTGTTCTGATAATACTACCTTAGAAATTAATATATAGAAGAGATGTTTAAGCTACTGAATCAGCTGCTGTACAACAGCATTAATTTATAATAATGCATGGATTTTGTATGAACTTCAAATTAATGAAAATTAAAAAATAATTTAAAATTCCAATAAACTGAAGTTGTATAAGTGAGTTTACATGGACTTTTACCTCTCTCAGCCAGGAATGATAAGTCTCCCTTACATTTGTCCGTCTCCATGCACGCAGATCAAAGATATTCATTCCATAAGCCCACGCACACTCATCAGGGTCCAAATGCTTTGCAATGAGAGGATGGGAAAAATTGAAGTAGTTCCTAAAACGCTTAGACATTACCCACTCATCTTCACCTCTGCATGTTTCCACAGCTCCATTAACTTTTCCTTCCAGATCAATTTCCCAAAGTGGAGATAAGTCACGCTGAATCACCACATCATCATCCAAAAAGACCACCTTGTCAAGGTTTGGGAAAAGCTGTTTAACAAACATGACAAACAAAATCAGCACAAATATATTAAAGAGAACTCAATTTATGTTTTCAATAAAGACAGACAACAAGAGCAAGAATATTCTCCACTCCATAATGTTAGTGTTAAAATTAGCAATCTCAGCTATAATTGGTACATAAGTGCTGACTACTGATGAAAGCAATGCAAATGCTTCACAATTTAAAATTAATTTTTATCTACTTGCACAAGCAACAAGAGGAGAGGGGAATATTCCTCCATTCATTTCATAGTTCATGTTCTTCCTTCATTTTTTTACAAATTCATAAAAACTGGTTTAGGAAAAATGGACAAATATAATGCTTGAATTAATTCTAGATCATTTCTTATCTTTTAACACATGGTTTTTATGTTCTCTTCAATTACTATATTTTTGTGAAAAATTCAGAGACATTAGGTGCCCACAGCCACTTTTGCCTCATAAACATACAATCCATAATACATATAAATATTCAGATTGGAGGGACAGGTAAAAAATCATCCATATCTTTATGTTTCATTCACATAAAATATAAATAATAATAATAATAATAATAAATCATGCAGAATATAAGAAATCAATTTTTTTTTTCATGAATTATGGTTTAAAAAGTATCAACAATATTTGAGAGAGAGAGAGAGAGAGAGAGAGATGTGAAGGTAAACAAAGAGTGATCATTGTTGAATCCAACCTACCTCTGGTATGTATATGCGGAGATGGTTGAGTAAAGATATGTACTTTGGACTTCTAGTCTGCAATTTAGATGCAAATTTACGTGGATTGGTATCACTGAGATTGGCTCCCGCAACATGATTCCCATGGTAGTAATTTCTAATCCCATTTTGATTTTCTACAGCTTCAAGTACTGGAACATTTTCTCTAGTCAACCAGTCAAACTGGTGAACACCTTTGATTTCAACCACGGCAGGGGTGGCAGGATTGAGTGCAAACCATGAGTGCATACCCGCATAAGTCTTTTTATCTGTGATCACATGGAATACTATTTTCTCAGGTTTCAGAGATGACTGGACAGTAGAAGTAACAACTACTGAAGCAGCCAAGATGTTATCAGTTGACAGAATAAAATGGTGGATAGAGTTGTCAGACAGCAAAGGAAGTAACTCAGGAGAAGGCAGTTGTTTGCGTGCATGGGCATTTGATGAATATTCATCAGTCAAACGCAAAGACAGACAATGAATCTCTTTAGGGACAGAACTTGCTGCAAAGTGTTTATTCATCAGCTCTGCAAATTTAGACTCTCTGATTTCTCTCTCAAATTTCTCCATCTGTCCCAAGTAGCACAGCATTTTAACAAAGATCAATATAATTACTATTTTCCACAATATTTAATGCAAGAACTGCAATATATAGGATAAACAAATGTGACTAAGCTATTGCAATATATGAATATATTTACACTAAGTTTCACACACCAATCTTGCATACGCTCATACAATTTCTCAAAGTCCTACTATGGACGCAAAAACCAATGGCTATCTTTCATGAGTAATTAAGGTTGCAAACTGAAATCATAATGATAATGATGATGACAAAGTACTACTAACTATACTTTTTTTAAAAGATTATGAAGACCTCAAAGTACCACCAACTGCAAATAAATAGAAATTCAGGATTCAAATGTAACAAACATTTAAACAAAGAAAGGAAGAGAATAAAAATAAAACCCTAAATATCGAGACAAACAAACATAAAACTGAGCACCTTCATACGCTAGAAAAGGAAACAGGAAAAATCTTTACGAGGCTTGTGACAAATATACCAAAATGAAAAAAATAAAATAAAATATTATGATAAAAAGACAAGCCCTAATATGAAACAAGGTGTCTAACGGAATTTTAACTTTTTCCATTACTAAAAATGATAGGGAATTTCCCGAATTGGAATCTCTTTTAGGGCCTCCTAGCACCTATTCATTTGCCACCTAATGCAGATAAAAGGCATTGGTCTCTTTGAACCTTCACAAATCTTTTTTTCCAATTACTAATAGTTCATTGAACAGAGCTACTTTTCATCATGATAAACCCCTTTGAAGTCCGAAATTCCCTCTTAAAGTCAAGTCATTTATTTAGACTGCGGTGCTTAATAGAACGAATACTAACAAAGAATGTTGCAGGTTCAGATGCCACATAAGGCTCTTATCCCCTGCTGCTTGCTCAGAATCAATTCCTCATCTGTTCTTAATTGTTCTTCTGCTGAGCATGGCCTAAGGCCTTGGAACAATTTTTGATGATTAGGTTTAATGGATTTGGAAGAAGTAAAGAGGCTAAATTTTTGTAGCAGTGTGCAATCTACGCTACACATTGGTGAATGTGAGTGGAGCATAACTCTCATATCTTCACTGATTCCATTTGGTCTGTAGTACATGATCTTTTTAAGGGGGCTTCCCTAACAGATACGTTGAAGGATTGGATAACTTTGTCCATTCTTCTCTTTTTTCTTTGTTGTTTCGTGTTTTGCATGTGTTAACGAGAATTCCTTATCCTCCAAAATTCATTGCAATTTCTTCACTTCATCTAAATAAATTTATTCTTTAATAAAAAATAAATGAAACACATGATGTTAGCTTTGGAAAAATACAAAGATAAGGCTGCGCACAATCAACCCTCACCCCTACCTCGCAAAGTTAGGGAGCCTTGTGCACTGGGGTTTTCCCTTTATCAAGTAAAAGCAAAAAGAGAAAAGCTAAAAGATGTGCCAGATATAACTAAATATGAGCAGTTTTGAACAAAGAACATTGTACTTGTAATTGATGTAATTTATTATTGCCATCTATCTATGTGAAAAAGTTCATAACTGATAGAATTCTTATTTAATAGAGTGAAAGTTCTCTTTAACATTCCTGAATTATATAACAAACGAAATTTTAGAAAAGTGAAACAACCATAGTAGTTTAGCCATCTAATAAGTAATTCTAATAATATTACGATTGTTTGGCAAACACTTCAATATCCAATACAATACACAGTACACACTACCAGTATAAACAACAGAATCATTTATTGCAGTACATATAAGAAACTATATCCAGTTTCTTTAACAACCGGTATTGGAAAACTGAAACTAAGCACAACCATGATCATCTACTTATCTGTATAGTGATATCAAGCTAAATTCAAGTGAATTTATTAACTGACAGTCATAGAAGATAAGTGACTGGTATATATCTATGGTAAAATCAATCTAAATAATCTTTGTCAAGTATTCTTAATCTTAACTGACTTCTTTATGAGGTTGCAGCATCAAAGTTTGCAACAACATAATCATAAGCAAGATAACCTTTCTCCATGCAACAAGTAAATAAAACATATACAACTAAACATAGAGACTAAGGGCCTGTTTGAATTCTATTTTCAAAAACATTTTTTTGATTTTCACAACAAAAAAACTTATTTGATAATGTCTGTTTTGTAAAAATAATATCTGCTTTTTAGTTTTTAGAATCAAATTTAGATAACATATTTCAGTTGTTTTTGTTTTGTGTTTTGATTATTAATTTTTAAAAAAAATCACAGAAAACACCAATTTCATTGACTACTCTACAAAATAGTTTTAAGAACAAAAAAAGCAGAACAAATCAAACAGGCTCTAAGTAATTTCAGAAGTGCTTTCAAATCTCTCTATACACATAAAATGAAACTGTGCTTAAGAAAATAAATCCTTTCGTAGATATTAGTTGTAGATGAACCAAAATTACAGTCAAATCCTACACATTTTAATAATGATACAAGCAGAAGTCCATACAATACAACAGAGTTGGTACAATGCTACCATAACAACACAGAGTCATGCTTAGCAGGGACTTCCATCTGATTTACAGAACCAAAACCATAGACATTAATATTCATCTAGAGATGTCATGAACTGAATCATTGTATCTCTATACAGATTATTGTGTCTTCATTATCTAAGTTGTCCTAGTCAAAATTCAAACTTACACAGTGCATTAGTTATCCCAACCTCAACCTTTTAATGTTCAAATCTCAGTGAGCACAGATGTACTGATAACATATGTGTCTTCCTTGTAAGCGATATGCTACAAGAAACATCAACAGAATTCAGTTTCAGACAACCCTTTCCCTACTCAATACCAAATACCAATTAGCCAAGAAACAAACAAACTTTATGTTAACTGTAACAATCAACTTACCATTCCCCTTAGCATGAATGCAAATGTTTTCGCATCGCATTGATTGTTCTTCATATCAGAAACCAGTTGATCGAAAGAATCTGGCAGCTTTAGATCGGCTGGAATTTCTGCAGTCTTCACTTCGTTGAGGATGTTGTAAAAATCTCTAACCAGTCTCTGCAGTACCATCAATGTCATCATCACCACAAGGGTTCAGATAATAGTTTTACACCAAAATTTTATTGGATATGATACAAAAAGTATTTACCCCTGAATCGTCACCCCTACCAAGAAGCCTCGGTCCCAACCGCCTGCCTAAACAATCTGGAGCACATAACAACGAATCAATCAAGGGTCTAAAACAGGCACAAGGTGAGACATAAATAAGGCACAAAACAATGAATTTTCCGAACCTAATCTAAGTAACATAAAATAGCAAGCTACAAACAGCTGAATGCTGATGTTTCAGAAAGACAGAAATCGATAAATCATAACTTTCATTATCAACTCAACAAACTGAAAACAGCAGAACCCAGCTTTGTTTAGACAGGGACCTACAAAACAACAAACATTGGCCCATAATGCTTTTCTTTATTAATTCATAATAACACGAAATAGTTTTCTTGATAAAAACATGAGGAAAGTATTCATTTCTTCCTCACATGAAAGATTCAACAGCTTACAAATTTCAGCAATACATGTCACAAAAAACATCTCCATCACTAATTTTTAAGTTCAAGTGCAGTCAAAACCCATGCAAATGAAACACTCAAAATTACCCAGTCACACTAAAGACCCAAAAATGAAGGGGTATATATACTAAGCCAGTAGCTACAAAACTTTCATCAGGAAAATCATTTATAATTGCACTAAAATACTTCCAGGCCTTGAAACAAATAAAAAATATGTAAAAAAAATCATATTTTGATCCATTTTTCAAATCAAGATCTACCTTGAAACAAACAAATAATTAAATAAATAAATAAAATTGAGAGGGTAAGGTAAGAAAAGTATTGATAGATAATAGAGTAGTACCAAATGAGGAGCACTTGTTGACACCTTCAAGGGTAACAAGAGCGGTGAGAATGAAGACAAAGGGTAACAAGAAAGCGAGGATGAGGATGGTGTGGAAGAGGGTTCGATAGGAAATGTGGCGAGCTGCTACCTTGATCTTCATCAAGTCAATAAACCCATTGTTGCTGCTCGATATAGTGATGCTTCTCATGCTAGGCGAGAAGTGAAGCTGCATCGTCGTTTATGCATATGCAGCCCCACCACCACCACAACAACCCTAGCAGAAGACCAACTCAAAAACGACAACAACAACAAAACCCATGGCCTCAAAACGCACACCATCAGATTCAGATCCCACCAATCGATTGGGACCAGTAATAGTAGTGGAATTCGGATCGGATGCGAATCTGGGTCCTGCTCGAATCTGAAAATCTCGTGTTTTTCTTCTTCTGGGGTCTTCTGCAAGACCGCATTGGGTTCTTCCACCAAATGGGGTGTGGCTTAATCGATCACCAGATTGATAATATCAATCGAGTTTCTTCTGGGTTGGGTTAAAGCTTAAAGCTTGATGTTAATGTTGCTGTTGAAGTTGAAGTTGAAGTTGAAGTTCCTCTCCCATGGATCAAGAGAGAGAGCGAGAGAAGAGAGAGAAAATCTGAACCTGTTTTTTTGTTTTGTTTTGCTGATTGTTTTTGTTTAGCTTTTTTTTTTCTCTGTTTGTGCGGAGCGTTCTAATTGGTCCGATCTATAATTTCGTTTTCCCGGAAAAAATAAATTATGACAAAAAAAAAAAAGTGAAGACCTTGTACGAGTCAAAACTCAAAACCGTGTTGGGCTTAGAGAGAGAGAGAGAGAGAGGGTAAGGGAGAGAAAAATGTGGTGGGTGTTTGACCTTGAGATTAGGGAGTGAGAGCCTAATCTAGGAGCTAAATTTAGATGTTTCCTATGTTTATGGGCAAGGCTTAAAAGGATTATGTGGATAGCATTATATGGAAAGTGGTGGTTAATTTTAGTTAATATTTCATCATTTTTGTGTTAGTGTGAGGCATTGTGTAAGAGGATGGAAAGAAAAAAAGTAGGGCAATGTTAACATTGGGATTATGAAAAAATGGAGTGCTATTTTTGAACTATGACGTTCAAAAGCTCTAGTGCACGTAATGTAATAATACTAGAACTAGAAAATAAGGATTTGGTAAAACATGAGTATCCATATACAGAAAACGATATCAAAGGAATATAAAAACGGTATATAGGTGCTGCATAGGTCACATATATTCCAAAGTTTAGGCTACTTTTCATCTATGAGGTAAGATAAAATGCAGCATAATAAGAATACGTAAATAAAGGGAGAAAGGGTATGGTGGGAAAATTATTTAGCCTCTTCCGATCCTTGTGAGGATGCGTTGGTATAAGGGAAAAGTATGGGTTTTCGCGGATTGAAGTTTTAATAAATAGTTTTTGCACCAATTAGTAAAAGTTAATAGTTATAGTTTGATCAGAATGCTGCAAGAAGTAGTTACACCAATTAGAAATTGAGAGTAATTATAGTTTGATCAGAATGTTGCAAGAAGTAGTTGTACTGTGCATGAACTTGCAGGTGTTTTATGAGAGGTTACAACTTGCAAGGGTGTCTTTCGTACAAGTTTTATCTTGAATTTGATGAAAAAGTGTGGATAGGTATCGGAAAATATCATGTTTAGTTCAAGTTTTTGAAAAAAAAATACTAAGCAAATATAAAGGTTAGGAAACGACTTTGGTGTTGCTTTTTGGATGAAATTCACTGTTACAAAATACCACTTTAAATATGGTATTTTGAGATAATTAGAGAAGTGGAAAAACAGGTGAGAAGTTCCTCCCAAATATAAATTTTGTAAATTTAAATAATTTTTTTCGATAATATTTCGGCCAACCAAATATTTTTTTTTTTAAATTTTTCCATCAAAGTGACTTTCCTATTATTTCCCTAATAATTAAACTTTTCTGATAAAAAAAAGAGTAAATACCTTTTTGGTTCCTTAACAAAAATTACGGTCTCCACTTTAGTCCCTTACAAAAAAAATTAGTCAGTTGGTTCCTAACAACTAACAAATTTAAAATGGACCCATTTTAGTCCTTTTGAGGGACTAATATGGGTCTTTTTTGAAATTGTGAGGGACCATGATTTCAACTAAATGGGTCCACTTTAAATTTGTTAGGGACCTAGTGACTAATTTTTTTTTGTAAGAGACTAAAGAGAAAACCGCATTTTTTGTTAGGGATCAAAATGAGTATTTACTCTAAAAAAATTCTTCTCTGCCAAACAGTAGAAGTAATAAAAGTTGAATTTGAAACATCGAGAATTGTGGTATTTCTTGACTAGTTAACACTGGATGCATGAATTACCAAGATATAGTAGGCCCATTTTATGTTTCAGGATATATGGTTCTTCAGCCATTTTAAGCAAAGAAGAAAAGAAGACAGGTAAAGATTGATTGGTCTAAAGATTGTCTCAAAGATCTAATGTTCTCACTCCCTACCCACGTGGAAGAATACAGGTAACATAATAAGATATTAATGTGCAAATACAACGCACTATATTACAAGCTAATGGCACCGGCAAACATTATGAATAAAAAAGGAAACAAATTGATAAATGATTACCATCATGAGGTGAAGAGATTTGTTGAAAAGGAATAGCAAACACATGCTAACAGTTCAGGACTATTTCAATTTTTTCACCTAACTGAAAAATTGTAGAAGTAGGCATGCTGCAATATATTGGAAAAAATTTCAGTAATCATTATTTAAAAATTTATACACATAAAATTTAAAATTTTATCGTTTTCAACAAAAATTAATGAATGAACGAAGCTTATGGCTACAAAACAACTAAGCAAACTTACATCATAAGAAGTTAGAAACCAATTCAAAGAAAATACGGAATAGAGAAACATATTTAACGATTAGTATATTATTTAAAGATTATTTATTATTTTTAAAAAATTTAGAATCTTTTCTTATTTAAGAAATATGTTATTATTTTATAGATTTTATCTTTAATAAAGTGTATGTTCTTAAGAAAGTAAAATTATATTAAGATTTTTATTCAATTTGATTTGATTAGGATTTCATATTTCAGGTATTTAATTATAATTCATTCAGAATTTTATATTTAATTAAGATTTATTCAAAATTATTATTTTTGAGTTGTAAATAAGCTTTCTGTAATGCATACCTTTTAACAGAATTAAATAATATTAAAAAAATTCATTGAGTATTAAAAACCTTAGAGAGAAGAGAATTTATTTTGCTTTTAGAGAATTATACAACACTTATTGTTTTTTGTTTTTTGTTTTTTATTTTTGTACTTCCTTTTTTGTTAGGTGTTCTGATTGGTAAAGGATGTAATCTCTTGTATTTTGTTATTCCCCCGTGGCCCCATATGCTCATTACACATATTTTGGACCACGTGTCTATGTCTTATGACAAACTTTTCATGTCATGGCAAAATAATTTTTAATCGGGCCGTTTGGTTGAAGAAATTTTTTTATGAATAATAAAAAAATGTGATGAATAGGAAAATGGTTGGAATGTGAGTTTGGTAGGAAAATGTAAAAAAAGTTGTTTGGTTTGATAAAATTTTGATGGGAAAATTAAGTAACTTTTATGAAGTCTATGTTTGGGTGTAGGTAAAATATAGATGGGAAAAATAATTGATATCACAAATATAACCCTGTATTTAAATTTTTTTCAAATGCTGCCCTTAACCCGTTAAAGAGGAGGTATCCTTTGCCAAGCTCCAAATAAAAAAAAAACGACAAATCTAACACAAACGGCCAAAGATTTGTCGAGGTTTCCGGTGAGCAAAAGGAGCACCTCGTGTTTAGAATCCTCACAACCCACAAAGCCATTAAAATCTGTCCACATAGCATCGTCCGCCATAGTGTCCAGTTCATTAAGAAAAAACCTATAAATTAGAAGTTGTGGCACTTCATCCTCACTGTAGTCGGTTGCAATTTATCTGAGCTTTCATCCAGACTATTGGAAGAAAAAGAAGCTTCCAAAACAGATACAAGACTTGTCACTTGTTTTCCCCCGTACTGATAAGCTTCCAAGTCTTGCTCTTTTGGAAAGTGACCACCCTAACAAAGTCAACAAAGTCGATTTGGTAGGGGGCAAAGTGAGGGTACGCTCGTCTTTGTATAGAATCCAGTCTGAGCAATTAGGCGGCTTTTCTACAATATCACACTGCCATGGGATAAATTTCGCCGGCTAAATGAACACAAAACATATGCAACTTGGTTATGTAGGAAACTGATTTAGGTGGGTAAGTTTGAAAAAACCTTCAACTAAACATGGTAAGCTTAGATGCCCATTTCTCACTCCTCGATCAATCTCAACCAAACACTCTCTAACATTTTATTTTTGTGCAGTATTTTATTTTTGTGTTTTTTTATTTAATAAATGTGAGCCCACATAAGATGTGTTTATAGTATGAATTTTTTTTTCCTATTATATGAGAAAATTAAAACCATATATATATATATAGGGGAATGATCCATTTACAAATTTTTTTTACAAATTACAATAAGTATGATCGGTCATACACTCTTGATTGAAGTATGACCAGTCATACTTAGGGGGCGTTTGATAGAAGAGAAATATTTATTTATATGGGAACAATAGATTACTGGAATATAATAGGAAATGTATTTTGTTGGAATGTTACTAAAAAGTTATTTGGTATAGCCAAATTTTCTCGAAATTTTGTGGTTTATTTTACTGAGTGTGTGTTTGGTTGATTGTGAAATATTAATGAGAATATGAGGTTATTTTACGAAAATAACCCTACTTTTACTTTTTAATATTATATTATATTCAACGTTAAACATTCAATATTTATTATCGTAATCATTTGACGATAAACAGTAGATGAAGTCCATTTGCTACCAAAAAGTAGGGTTATTATTCTCCACAACATTTTGGTCCTATTTTACTTCCCGGACAAACCACTATTCCAACTTCTGGATGGAGATATTAGTACCACTTTTCATACATGAACTGCAAAAATCGAGCAACGTTGTTTCTCGAAAAAGTGTAATATTTTTGCTACCAAACGTGGTCTTCCAATTCTCAAGATTCAGCTTTTCAAGGAATCCAAAAAGAATCTGGGTATCAAACACCTCCTTAGTGTAATTTGTAAGAGTTTGTAAACAAAAAGTTTGTAAATATAACATTTCCTATAAATATATATATGGGTTTACATTTCTGCAGTTGTTGTAAGTGCAGCAATTAAATACTTGCCATATATATACTTGAAAACATTAAATACAGGGAATCGTAACCATACAAATGATGAAAGCATTAAATGTGGAGAATCATAACCATACACTTGTCGTTGCTGTACGTAAAACGGCTGTAGAAATAATTTTACCATATATATATATATATATATATATATATATATATATAAACAAGTATCAATCTATGGTTGTTTTGGACTTGTACTTGAATAATTTTGAGATTTTAATTATGCTAAACAAAGTCACACGTTACTATACATTATGTTAAACAATTACTCAAGTTACTATTAGGTATCATAACAATCTACATTTGTGCCAAACAACAGAAGTTTCATTCATTTATAAGTGCATTTCAATAATACTACCGT